GGTTGAATGCTGTTAAACCTGCCCCCTTTGATGGGGGCAGGTCGTTAAGGTGATCAAATGGTGGTCTTTTCCACACCATCACAAAGGGCGCAGGTAAGCACAGGTACTGACATCAGGTGATGGATGGCAGGCAGATAGGTGAGTTAATTACATGACTGTTGCCAAGGTGATGGGGTCTGTGTCACGAGGGTCATGAAGGGCTGATTAGGTTAACTTGGTTAGGCAAATCCTTGGAATATAAAAGCTAATCAGCCCAAAACAAGCTGGGGAGGAGTTGTAAAATAATTTTTAATAGCTACCTCTGAGGAACTAGTTTTGTCCTTGATTAGAAGGCAAGCTATGTAATGTTAAGAGAATATGACAGAACTAGGCAGTGTCAAAATGACTGCACTTTAGCTTTAGATTATTCCAATAAATAATTCCATTTTGGCATTTATACCCTTTCATGTTACAAGTCATCTGATCTAGTCAAAGCATCAATGAAGCCTTCCTTGATGAAGTGACATTTAAAAGTTAACTAAACAAAGAAGTAGAGATGAAGAAAAACAGCATCCTGGGCAGAGTGAAGCCTATATGCAAGAATTCTGATTGAATGAAACGTGTATGTTGAAGAACTGGCTAAAGCTTGGAGGGCCACCAGGAGAGTGGGGAGATGAGGCTTGGGTGAAGGCAGGAGCCAAATCATGCTGAAACTTAGAGGCCTGTGAGGAGTTTGGATTTTATCCCAAGGGCAATGGGAAGCCATTGATAGGTGTTAAGCAAGTGAGGGGCATGATCAGATTTGAATACTAAAATTACTCTGAGTGGATTAGAGTGGAAGAAAGGTAATGTGCAGAGGACAGAGGAGATGGTGGCTTGAACTAGAAAGGAGGTAGCATTTGCACATCTCCAAGTTGGAGTGGGGTTTCTGTCATACTAACAAAATACTTTCTTTCCTGGAATTTGGTTATTTGTTAACTCTTAAAGCAACTTTTCATTCTCAAAACCTCAAAACCATTGCCTTCACAGAACAAATAAGACAGATGTGGGAGCTAATGGGCTCCACGCCTTGGAAAGAAGACACACAAAGGGCCAGTCCTCTGCCGAAATTCTGAGCCTGAGTCTGTGGGTTTCAGACTCCTTCTAGTGCTTTGGGAAGGAATGATGTCCTGCTGCACTCAGCAAAGAGATCCAGAAAGGCAGGGTGTTCCTAAAAACAGGCCATAGCCTTAAAAGTATTGTCACCACATAATGTGAGGAAATGGATTTCTTAAAGGAATTATTTTCAAATGTGAGACAAAATATATTTTAATTAATGAACCTACAACCCTTTTACCTTAAAGAGGGTCTCTTTAGAAAGTCTAAGTTGTAAGTTATTCTGTTAGCACCTTTTGTGCTAAGTGGAACTACAAAGCTTTCATCTCCCTATGGGTTCAAAGAGTTGTCAATTAATCATCAACCATCTTATTGAGCAACTACATGATAAAAGGCATTAGAAATACAATTATGAATTACAATTGACATGATTTTTGTTTGCATAGAGCTTCCAGTTCAGTGATGAAGCTAAGTGTAAACATTAATCACATGATTACACAATTAAATTTAAAGCTGCATCTGTGACAAGTTCTACAAAAGAAAGATATGTATGTGTACTATAAAAGGGCATATGAAAAGAGGATCTCACCTAGATAATAAGTTAGGGACATGGTAACTGAGTAGAGAGTAAAAGAATGAATATAAGTTAAATGAATAAAGGAGTATGGAAGAACAGTGATAAAATGAATTTACTTGACAAATAGAGACTGCCAGTTGCCAAAGGTCATGATAGGTAACTATATTATACAAATGAATGAAACTTAGTCTGCAAGTTAGGAAAAATAACATGGACTGAATATTGCTAATTGCTAGCTGTAAGAATTTGGTGTTATTTTAACTATCCAAACCTCAATGTTTTCATCTTCAAAATAAGAAAATGACATCTATTTTGCAGGATTATTGTGAGGATTTAAAAAGCCCTTAGCTCACTTCCTGGTGCTTAAGTAGCAAACTTTGAAATTACCCGACTGGGTGAGTCAAGTATGATGTAGTGTCAGAAGAAATGTTCCACAGTCATCAAAAGCTGAATGTCTTTGATCAAACTGAGTTCAGATACCAAGTTCAACAATTACTAAGCTCTGTGATCTTAGGCAAATGACAACCTTTCTTATCCTCAGTTTCTTCATGTAAAAAGAAGAAAATATAAATATCTACCTCAGATTTCTTGGTAGGAACAAAATAAATAATGCATGGAAAGGTGAAAACTTAAATAGATATCTTGGCTACATAATTTATATACACAAGGTGCTATATTAGAACACATAAATAAGCAGTTAACTATTTTTGTTGTTATTGTTCTGGGTAAGAGGTTGAAGGTAAGTAAGACCAAAGACTTCATGTAGAAAATCTTGATCTTGGTCTTCAAAACTGAATAAATGTTAGACAGAATGCTGACAAATTTGCCTTTCTCAAGCCATAGGATTGTAATTTGCTATTATAAGAATTCCCCGGGGGTTGAAATCTCAAGATATTTTTTAAAGGCTGGTGAGTTTCTTCCAATAAATGTCTTCTCTTCATTTGCCATGAGCTGGAAGGAAAAATGATGCTGTAGATAACAACATGGGCTTTGAAATCATATAAACCTGGGTTGTGATCCAGTCCCCACTTCCTACAGCTGCATAATCTTATGTCAGTTATTTCACGTCTCTGAGTTTCAGTTTATTGGTCTTTAAAAGGAAGTATCAACGGTGCCCCTCATGAGCTAACTTGAGGGTTCAACAAGATAATGCATGTAAAGCACTAAGTACTATATTTGGCACATAATAAGTATTTTGAAACATTGACTATTGTTATTGTTGATGTGGCATTAAGTTTACACTTTCATAAAACTTGAGAATTTAATCAGTGTATAAAACAATTACATTAGACACAGGGTATGCCACATTACCTACTCAACAATGGGATATCCAAAGAAATTACCATAAACAACCAGGTGGTGAGAGTTCCTGTATGGCAATGGTTACAAGTATTTATCTTTGTGGCCATAACAACTTTGAAAGTTGTACATAGTAGGTCTTCAGTAAATGTTGACTAAATGAACTACACAAAGGCAAAGTTAAAATCTTGCATCCTGAGATTACAATATACCTGACCCAATGCTGTAAAAACATCATTTTTGTGTTTATCCATCTTTAATGATATATTACATTTTAAGCTTGTTGAATTAATTTTTGACGTTATAATAAAATGCTCTTTTTCTTTTTAACTGCATTGTCCAATGATGAGTCATGCTGCATATTTGCTCAAGTAACATGGTATGCAAAATAATTAGGAATGACAGTGAGGAAGGTGGCAGAAATAAACCCAATAATGAGTAATTTATTTGCCTAATTTTAAAATAAAGATTTTTTTTCTACTTAAGCATGATAAGTGCTTCTGTAGACAATGCATAAATTTAAAAAATACATCTGTAATTTCAATTCCAATGGGCTTTGTTCAAAGGAGTGTGTGTGTGTTTGTGTGTGTGTGTGAGTGTGTGTGAGTGTGTGTGTGTGTGTGTGTGTGTGTGTGAAAACATATATGGGAAATCCTAGCACTTAAATAAATATATACATATTTAATTTTCATTATGCCATGTAAAAGCTTTTTTCACTTGTCATACAAGCATTTGCTTTGTTTTATTAATTATACTTCATAAACATGAGTTATACATAGCATGACATTCTATAAGAGTGTGTCACATAGTTTATTTAACTATTACCATATTGTTAGACCTTTAGCGGGTGACAAAACTAATTCATCTTCAAATATATGTTATTAGTTACTATATTCAGTGAGTTCTTAATCCTTTTCAGTTGTAAACAACTTGAAAACCTCATTATTTAAAAAATGAGATTTTCTGTATTATCTCCTTCCAAAAGAGAAAATCACAAACACATATTTACATAAACTATTGCTTAGCATTTCAGAAGGTTTATAAACTCTATGAGGTCCATCCATAGATTTCTGTTCTCAAGGCTCAGGTCAGAACAAATGGCATAAGATATATCAATATGAAGCAGAACAAAAAGTACAGACTTAACTGGAATAATCATGGAGACATATAATATCTAAAATAGTGCTGACTACAGTCATGTGCCCAATCCCAGTTCATTCTTGTATTTTAAATAGTCCGTGGTTTAGATTCCACATTAATGTTTCTCTATAACTTTAATTGAATAATAATGTTACATGTGATGTAGTTTTATTATCCTTAGTGATGGGATGTCTCTGCAGGACTCCCAATGCACAGGCTTTTCTCACTGTGAGGTCTTGCACACTGGAGACATATGACATTATTGGGTCTATTCCCGTCACCTTTCCCTCTGCCGCTTTTTATTGTCTTACATGCCATTCCATTTTAGCTAATATATAGCATGACTCGGCATTGGCGAATACCGTTACTTAAAGGAAAGAGAGCATTTTATAATAACACCAAAATTAATTCAACAAACTTAAAATGTAAAATATAGCATAAAGACAGATAAACCCAAAACTGATTGATTCACAGCATCGGGTCAAGTATATTGTAAAGTATTGTTAAAATGCAAGGTTTTAACTTGTCCTTTGTGTGATTTTAAATCTTTATTATCTGAGTTGTATACTTCGATAAGTAATTTACAATAATGAGACTGAGTCTATATGCCAATTTATCCAGCTTCTAAAGAATTCCAATACAACCTCAATATAAAGCCCCAAAAATTGTATTTTTTGCTTGTTCTTTCCATCTGTTTGCTTCTGAAGATAGAATAAACTTCTGAGATAAAAGCTAAGGTATGAAAGAGCTTGCAACTATGTCCACACATATCTGCGTGCATGTTTATGCCTGTGGGTGTTAGAAAAGTTCTAAATGATTATTAGGTGTCAGAGAATAATCTAAAAGGAAATTTTAAAAAACAATTTTAAGAATAATTTATGTGAAAGCAATTTTTTCTTCTCCCTCATAGCTGCATCATCCCTCCCAGGGTTTTCGCTTTGGAACTGTCCGAGAAAGTAGTGCTGAAGATTATGTGAGACAAAGCTTCCCAGAGATGCATGAATATATGAGAAGATACAATGTTCCAGCCACCCCCGATGGAGTGGAATGTCTGAAGTGAGTATCAACCTCTTGGATCCAAAAAGTTGTTACTGAAGACAAGTCATTTAGCCACTGACGTAGTGTCTGTTCGTTTGGGTTTTTTTAAATGACAGATAAATATATCCGCTCTGAGTTCAGTAATACCTCACACTGTGTAAGATCCAGGAGGCAGTATGAAATAGTGTGCATTTAATTATGTGACCTAGATTACTAGTTACCTGCATAGTCTCAAGTTGGCAGTAGCTTTGTTCAAAGAGCCCATGGGGCCATTAGCATAGCAGATGGTAGGCGAAGAAAATGTTGGCTTGACATCACTTGAGAAAACAATGGTTCTTAAATGATCAAAAACACAGGGAATGTGGCCAGAGGATAAAGTGTCCCAAGGCAACATTTTCCTTCACAGTGAATTTCTAAGCCCATGGAATGCCTCCTTTTACCACAAGGAAACAGAATTTATCTTAGAGATTTCCTGTAGAAAGGAAATAACAGAAGGCAAAGATTCCCATGCCTGCATCCTTTTCATCAGAATTTATGAGACGCAATCAAGAGAAATCACATTGGCATGGCAGATTATCAGAGCCTGCAATTCAGGCAAGCTGAATTCAAAGACGGGTGGTGCAGTCATGGGTCTGCCTAAGAAAAGGAAATGGATGGCTTTTGATAAACATCAATGCATGAAGATGAGCAGCCCTCTCCCTCCTGCCTGATAGCATCAGGGTAGTAACTGACATCCAAACTTCCAGTCCCTAGAATTGTGCCGCATCAGGAAACTGGTTTGTCCATGGTCCGCTTCAACAATCTCCCTAATGGACAGCAGGACCTGCCACCACAAATTCTTTTTCAAGAAAGAGAAGAAATAAATAATTTCATGGGGTACTATGGTTTTATCTTTCTCAAGAGCTCTAGGAATTGGCCATTTAGACATTTTGTGGACTTTTAACCATAGCTTAGAAAGAAATCTTTGTTCTATCATATTTGCAAAGTTATGTATAATGTTTAAGTACTATGAAATGCCAGTTTTAATTTTGCAAGAACATCAAAGACCTTTGCCTCCCAGGTCCTCTTCTGTATTCTCTCCCTCAGGCAAATTTATGGTTAAGAGAGAGAATAAGTCAGAAAGACAACAACGGCTCCCAGGCCAAATGGAATGACTGAAAAACTGGGCTCTGCTGGCAGTGTGAAAAGAATAAAATGAGCCACTGCTGCAGACCCCAACAGTTCCACTCCACTCAGATCATTCATTTACTCTGGAGGCTTTACCTGAGAAAGCCTCAATGCCCGATGTTGGTCCCACCCAGTCTAGAGAGAAGCAATCATGAGAAAATCAGGCACAGATTAAGAAAGACCTGAAAGAAGTAAATTTTACATGGCAGTACAGCTAGTAAGTCGGGAGCAGAAGCAGATCTTTAGAATCCAACCACTGCTTCAGGCTAATCTAGGAACTGTGATGGAAAAGTAAGTCCTTAATGTGCAAAGAATAGTCCATGTTCCAGCAACATCCTTGTTCCAGTTAGTATATGGGAGCCAATTAGAAACCCAACATCTCAGGCCCCATCCCAAAACTAATGCATCAGCATGTGCGTTTTAACAAGCTCCCCAAGTGATTCACTGATTGAGGTGAAATTGGAATATAGGCAGAGCTTAACATTAATGCCCTCTCACTTCTGTATGGATCTTCTCTCCCCACTTTTGGTGTAGTCACTTCCTATGCACTTAGCCACCACATCAAGCAACCAGTCTTCAGGTTATCCCTTAGCATCCCAGAACTCTGACCTATAAGGTATAATCCCTGAAGTTGTCTGGTCAAAGCATGCTTCTATATGTGGAACGTGCCCTTTCCTTCTCCCATCAAAATTCCCCTGATACTTCTCAAGAAGTTGGAAAAAAAAAATCCCCTGGACTTGTTCCTATTCTCTCAGAGCCTTGCTTTCTCAGATGATTGTTTTCTAATAAATTAATCCCTATTAAAATATTCAGTTCCTTTTAGTAAGTCAATATGTGACTGGTTTTTTTGTGGGATGTGATAGGTATTTTTTAAATAATACTAAAAAAAAAAAAAAAAGACAGGGCATGATTCTATAATAAAATAAACAACTGTCAACTACAACGGTGACTCAGTCATTCTAGAAGCTACTTATTCCTGGATCACACCTGGTCACTTCCTGCCCAGTGACTCAGAGTCCCATGGGAGTCTGTGAGCTGATTGCTTCTTGCCTTCATATGCAATAGAAATTTATCATAGCTAACTGTTCTTTTCAATTCAAAATTTGTCAAGGATACCAGTGACACTAGACCTCAGGATTACTGGTTTTTAAAAAACCGAATTAAACCTCAATTTTTTCCTGTTGTTATTTTGCTCCCACAAATATTTGTGAAATATTGTCAAATTGTAATTTGTTGCTTTGTGGCTCCAAAGATACATTATGCTACTGTAGCAGTCTAACTTTGAAGAACAGCTTTCAGCTCAATTTTGATTTTGATTTTATTGTCAGCATTCCATTAAGTTTCCTCATCGTTAGCTCCTAGGAGACAATTCACAACCCAAACCCTGTATGAAGGTTCCCACTGCTGTGGAGCTGGGAGATGCTATCACTTTAGTTAAAGTTAAACATAGGCTTTATTGTAACATAAGTCTAATCCTCCTTGGAAAGGGGGGTACATTTTAAATTGGCAATTTCTTCTTCCTGGAAGAATAGGAAAAGGAGGTTCTGGTGGTCATTGGCACCAAAAGGGAAGTTGACTTACTTCCATATATGACCCAAACAAAGCCACCCATGTAAAGATGTGTTTGTTGCCCAGCAGTGAATCTTCCAGGTTTCAAGGGTTGTCTTTCTCTTTTAAATTTCTGATGGACCCTAGCCACATTCTAGTTTAGAGGCCACTTCTCTGTATTAAGTTCAAGCAACCTCACTCCTGGTTCTAAGAGAGGAAGGACTGAATCCAGATGGAATAGAAAAGTGTCGTTGTACTTGCAAAGCTGTTTGGACAATGCTGAAGGTAGAAAAAAAACCTTTCTTAAAAGGATGTATGTCCTATGCCTGTCCAAAAAGGATTGGAAGTGGCTAAACACAAAGCAGTCATTATATGTATCATAAACAGCCCCGCCTTTCTTGCACTCTTTGTAAATGAGAGCTCAGTCTGTGCTGAGACCTAGCCTTCATCTGGACCATTTCTGCACCTATGTTCCAAAAATGGGAAAACTTTCATGAAGAATGCTTAGGGCATCAGATAGCAACTTGAGTTCTGTCCATTGCCAATTCATTAATACAGCCCAGGGACACCTATCTTAAATTATTCTTGCCTGAATTGACTACTGAAGTGAAACATGGATCTCTGGAGCTATATTAATAAATCAAGTCACTAAGATCTTTCTTCTCTGTTTATTGAATGCTAACCTATGGACTTTAACTTCCTCTCCCCCCAAGTACTAGATCTCTTATAGGTATTTCCTCCATATCTACTCCAAAATATGAAATAATATCTTATCTCTTAAGAATATGATAGTGATCATGACAGAAATTAAAATGTCAACATATTGATTAATGAGACCACCTGACTCCAATACTTATTAGCTATGTAACCTGGATCAAGTTCCACTCTCTGAGCCTCAATTTCCTCATCTGTTATGTCACAGTCATTCTGAGTGATAGAAGGTGTTAAGATCAATATGCCTAACACCAAGAAATTGCTCTGATAATGTAAAAGAAAGGAACCTTCTCTATGCACCCTCCAATTCAGAGTTGCTCTGGCTTTGTTGCTGGGTTTAGAAGCAATGAAAGAAACTGATAGATAAACTCATTGGAAAGATGTCATTCTCTCTTATAAGACTGTCTTTTTCCCCTTGTCTGTAGTCTAGAGGAGATGACAACAAATCAGATGACAACAAAGCTGAATCAGCAACTAGCTAGTTTGTGCTGCCCTAAATGTCCATGTTTCTATTCCCTAAGCAAAACCCAGTGGTCAGTCCTAGCGCTTCCTGCCCATTAATGAATCATTTTTGCTTTTCTTTCTTGGTCTTAAATATAGGAATGATCCGGAGAAACTAGATGCCTTCATCATGGACAAAGCCCTTCTGGATTATGAAGTGTCAATAGATGCTGACTGCAAACTTCTAACTGTGGGGAAGCCATTTGCCATAGAAGGTATTACTCAGTCACTCTTGATTCACTTTTACTCAGGATGTGCTCAGTTTGCCAACCTAGCAAGTCACAAGTGCCAAAGTCAGAGACAAAGAGCTATTCATCTTCCCTTGTTTTCATTTTCAACTCACAAACACATAGCTATTAACTTGCTGGAGTTGGCATTTATTTTTCACCTACTCAACAAACATTTATTTACTCAGTTGTCAGGGGGGAAAAAATCATTGTTATCCAAATGATGTTGCTTCAGATATTTAGGAGTAGTGGCAGAGTATAACAAATGGGAAGCCCAACTTTAATTTAATCTGTATTTTCTAACAGCCAAATACTGTAGTGAATCTGATACACAAACTAGAATGAATACCTTTTATAACTGGAAGGGCCCCAACATTGATCTAATCCAATCTACTCATTTCATAGACAAGAAAGCTCAGGGACATTGATCACATTTTCATAATCATACAATTAGATGATGATACCAGGAATAAAATCTAAATCTCATTGTTCTTAAATAAATGCTCTCCCACTAGTTAGAAAATAAGTAGAAAAAAATTTAATTCTACAGCTTAGTACCCTTTAGGATCCTAAACAAAACCTTACTTGGGATCTCAGGTTTGTCTTTTTCCCCACCGGCAGCAAATTTTTGCTTCTAACTTGATCAACCAATCAATCAAACCTCAGGACCAAAGAAAGATTGCTTTGTCAGTAGCATCTTTCATTCTGAATGACAGTTGATATATGAAGCTGATAGTTTGAACCAGCAAATTTCACATCTTCCAATTCCCTGACAGTACATGCTGGCTTCTCTTCCCTGACAGTACATGCTGGCTCTCAAGACAGCCATGCTCACTTGTCAGAAAACACTGTCTTGAAACAATCCCATGGGGGTGCCCAGGTCCTATTTCCAGAAATCTGTACTTTTCTGTATATTAACTAGGATCTCAAGACTATTCTGATTCCAGTTTCCTAATTTTCAACCATAATTGGTCTTTGTCTCCCCCTAAACATATCAGCAGATTTTTTTCTTCAGTCTTTGTTTTCATGACAAATGAGAATGTAACAGTTGATGCTGTTTCTTTGCACCTTCTCCTAGGAGAAATCTGTCTTCTCTCCAGGCAAAGTGACCTGCATCTGAACCAAGGATGGAACTCAGGATAAGAGATATTTAACAGTAGTAGTCTTCCATTAAGACTACAGTCTAAAATAGCAAGGTCATAAAAAGAAAAAGTAAGATAGAAAAGCAAAGAGCATTCAATATATAACCCTATTTTTATGTAATAATGGAAAAATTCCCATATCTTTGTGGCATCTGGGGATGTTACATTTTATTTCTGTCCTAGATGCATTGGGTAATTGAGGTCCCTTCTGCCATTACTAGCTACTAACAATGAATCATTGGTAGAGGGCATAAGAATGAGGGGTTCCATTTTCCACCTTTATCTTCAGGAGGCAACCCTATCTTGTCAAAAGACAGTGGTAAGATGGCTTGTTTGCCTCTGCTAGACTCCAGTGCCAGATGCCACACAATTAACTCCCCACTGGTTTCCTGTTTACATATCCATCTGTGCTCCTGAGACTTAGTGTCTTACGGTTCCCATCATCTCTAGATCCCACATTGTTCTCAAAAAGGACAAGCACAAAATGGCGCATGGAAGAGCTCTCCTTGCAAGAAAGCAGAAAAATTGTCAATTTTAGTTGAGAGAGCATTGTTATCATTGTTGGTTTATTCTCAAAATGTATAGGATACAAATCAGAAAAATTAATCTAATATTGCCTCTACCAACAATTTCACATCCTGAAAACATAACTCAATAAAACACTTGCAAGTTACATAAAACAATGTGATAGAGATATTCATAAAAGGGAGGGAGGACACTTGCAAGTTACATAAAACAATGTGATAGAGATACTCATAAAAGTCTCAATTTCTGCTTTTAAGAAAATGTTAATCTCAGATTTTCAAAAAAATATTTCTCTCAATGAAATATTTTGAGATATTTATGCCTTCCTTTAAAAACATTTAGGTTTCTTGAACTTTTTAAAATGTAAGATTTAGTATTCAGTTAGATTACATAGGTATTAGAAAATCACCAGAGCCATTTATGAACAATATTTTCTCGTTTAGCTTACAGGAATGTTTTATATGCCTAACCTGTATTTCTTCACAGGGTCTAGTACAATGCTAGCCATATAACAACTGTAAAGTGATGTGTTACCTATTAAATAACATATTAGGTTAGATTTGAAATAAGTACCTAATTCACTTACTAATACAGTTAATCAACAACATCATTATAGGTTATGCATACTTTTCCAAGTATTTAAATTATTTCAGTACTTTAGGAGGGAAAACAGAATGCATTGATTTCTTAATACCGAATATATCTTCACTCTGTCTAGTACTGATATCACACCAACTCGGTGTGACTGCTGCTATGGTCTGAATATTTATGTTCCCCCAAAATTCATATGCCAAAACCTATTCCCCAATGTGATAGTATTAGGAGGTGGCCCTTCTGGGTGGTAATTTGGTTATGAAGTCTCCATGCTCACAAAGTAAAATTTGTGCCCTTATAAAATAGGCCTAGTGAAGCTCGTTCACCCTTCCTAACATCTGAGCACACAGCTAGAAGGCATTATCTATGAACCAGAAAGTGGGCTCTTACCAGGCTACAAATCTGCTAGCATCTTGATCTTGGACTTCCCAGCCTACATAATCATAAGAATTGAATTTCTGTGGTTTATAAGCCACCCAATCTATGGTATTTTGTTATAGAAGCCCAAAGAAACTAAGATAATTACTAAATACCTCTCCCAACATCATCATTCTGCATTTATTTGGACTTAAAGGGTAAAAGTAAGGCAAATAAGAGACAGTGACTCTACATTGAGTATGAAACCCTTTGCTACTAAAGCGTATATGGCAGAGCAAACCAAAACAATGAAGAATTCAAGAGCATGTGAAAAGTCTTTGGTCAAATTAAATACCATATACAGGGACATAAATACATATTGCATACGTGAGGGGAAAAAAGGACGTGTTGAGATAGATGAATGCATGTCTCAAATGTATACATTAGAGTTAGTTGACACTAAAGGTCCATTGAGGAGGAAGAGTAATATAACTACCCAATAATTATTTGTGACCTTTTCTGCCAAAGACATTTGCCTATTGTTAAGTTTGTTCTTTTACTTGCTTTCCAATGATTGTTTAATATAGTGCTTAGAGCACTAGCTGTGGAGTCTGAGTGCTTGGGTTAGAATAGAATTGCTGTCATTAACTGGCAAGTTACTTAATCTGCTCTTCAGTTCCTTATCTACATAATGGGAAGATGAATAGCACGCTTTTGATAGAGTTGTTATGAGAATTAAGTAAAATAATACATGTAAAACCTGTACTGTAGGAACATGCTTGACACATAGGAAGTGCTTAATAAACTATTTTATACACTATATTCCATTAATAAATAGAGACCAATTCACTGTAAAATTCTCTTGGAGAGGCTTCGTAGACCTCAGATTCTCCCACACATTTCTCTACCCACTTTGATGTGCTAGTAATGAGGAAAGCCCATCTTTAAAGTCTCCGTTATAGTTGGGACCATTATAATATGTTCTCAACCACTGTCCCAACTAAATATGATATTCGAAGAACAGACTGCAAAACTGGAGAAAAAAAAAAATTTCTTCCTGAAACCTTTTTAACCCTATCTGAGATGTTATTTTCAAAATATCTATTTTCCAACCATATTTTAGGAAAATTCTTTTGGTCTACGAATTTCTAACTATACATTTGCTAGCCAAAATATATTTCCACCACTCTTACCTGAGCAAAGCTGATTTATCCACAGGGAAGAGTTCAGGATTCTATTCTGAAAATTGTTCTCTTGGGCTATTAAGCTGTATCCAATTTTCAGGGTGCCTGATGCCTTCATCTTTAGGGTTGAAGGATTCCATTTTGCTTCATCCATCAACCACAAAATAGTCAACTCAGTCTTTATTGCAAAGCCACATTTTTAATGATAATGAAAGCAACTCAGGCTGCTCAGTTGAGTCAGCAATTTAAAAATAAGAATTCTTTTGACCAATGAACACAAGCAGATTTGAAAATCAACTGATAAGAAGGACAGAAATAAAATCCTCAATATTTTACTATTTTATGTTTCTGAATAAAATGGATTTTTGTGTCTTTTAACAAAATACCTCTTCTTACCACCACATAATTTTTCCTTATTTCTTCCTTCACTCCCTATGCATAATTTGTTTTAATTAGTCAATAATTGTTATTATTAATGCCAGAAATAATTAAATTATCAATATCCAATGTAAGTATTGAAATAAAAATTTTGAAGGGATAGTAATCTATTTTTAGCAGTTGATTGCAAATTAACCTTGGAGTGGAATGATTTAATATTTATTATTTCCTGCCTAGCAATTTTAATACATGTCCCTGCAACTTCAATATAGCTTTTTCCTTAAGGGAATGTTAATACTTTTGTTGTAGAACCAAAATTCTGTTCTTAGAATATGTAGATTTATCATGAGTATGAAGCTCATAACTTAAATCTTTCTTATCATGTACTTTAATCTACTAAAAATACCACCATCGAGAACCAATTCAGGATGCCTTTCTTCATCTCATCCTCTCATCTAGTAGCAATCTTTCATTCCTCTGAACTTCCAGAGTTTTATTTGTCCTCCTCATTGTGTCATAGGCATTATATATTACCTTTGTTGAATTTGTGTCTCATTCATCTTTTTTTCAAGAAAAGCGATCTAACGTCCTACCATGTTTTGTAGTTACTTATCGATACCTCATCTACCCATGCCTTCATAAACTTTTTCTAGATATACTCCATGTCTAATTTAACTTGGTAACCTCCATAGTACTTGGCAGAGTGCCTGACACAGAGTAAGCATTTAACATATGTTTATGGAATAGAAAATAGATGAGCAATAAATGCTTATTTAAAAACCACAACAATTCTGCCATTATTACACTAATGTAGATTGGAATTATTAACCTTAAGAGAATTTTTAGACAAAACAGTATCATTAATGAGGGTCCTTGCTAGTGAAATTTTTAATGTATATAATTACAAAGAAGTAGGGCTGTTCTCACACTATATTTTGTATTGGTTATATATACATATCAAACCTCATATTTTTTTAAAAAGGATTGTGTATCTACATAAAAATCACTACAAGTTATTAAACTTATCAAAAAGTTTATACACAAAATCTGTCTTTGAATAATGTATACTTGTGATTGCTGAAAACAAACCAACAGTTTAGATTATTGTTTTTTAATAAATTACCTAGTTTAGAGGATTATATAAATATGCCTACAGTACTGGGGCCTGTGTTAAAGGGGAGAACTAGGTAAAGTATTCCCTTGATGTAGCCGCATGTTATAATAAATATGGTGGAAAGTGCATTGGTTTTGGAATCAAACAAATCTACTTTCAAATGCTAGCTTTGCTAACTACTAGGTGTGTGACCTTGCAGGTTTTTCAATCTTTAATCTCTAAGTAATATGTATTCTGGTATGGGTGCATGTAGGGATACATGTGGAATAGTGCCTGGCACACAGTCGAGTCCTGTATGTCCTAGTTTTTATAATTAGAATTCCAGAATGATTTGACTGAACTATGTGACACAATCTGTTGCTGCTGTTGTTGTTGAAAACTATTGCCCCAGGGAGGAAAAACACATTGATATTCAGTAAACCTAGCTAATTATCCTGACCATCAACCCACTCCTACCAGACAGTTTCAAGAACTCCTACACTGTTTTTATATGCCCCAGTTCTTTTCATTCATGACACCCATCTCAATTGCAATGAAATAATCATTATGCCATAGATTGTTTAATATCTGTCTCCCCAGTAAAGTGTACACTTCATGATAGTAGAGACCACATATGCCTTGGTCACCGCTGAATCCTGAACAGTTAACATGATGCCTATTCACTTAGTAAAAATTTGTTGTGTGAATGAATGAATGTGTGAGTCAGTGAGTTGGTAAACATTATTATATCCTACATGTGCCTGGTATTGTGCCTGACGCACAAATAAGTACAGAATAAATATATGTGCAATTGAATTGTCAACAGCATTCATTATGTTTCTAAAGAAAACTAGTTACTTACTTATAATGTTACCCATTATTTTTTAAATGTTAAATAATAATAACATCAGCAGAAGAAAAAGCTGTCCATTCAAAGTCTTTTATTATTAATCTTGCTTTTCAAATCAGAACTACAGGCACAAAATAGATACTCAAAATAGTTCTTTGAATGAAAAATTCTAATTATGCTTTTGACATTGTCATCATTTCCTCAACTCCCCATTGTTAAGAAACAAGCAAAATTATCAGGAAAAAAACAACCCCTTAAAATTCACAATTTTTTTTCTGCATTATTCACTTTTTCTCTTGTATTGGTTATATGTACATATCAAGCCTCATATTTTTTAAAAAAAGAATTGTGTATCTGTATTAAAAACACTAAAAATTAATGTTTTTAGAATTGAGCTGTAAAATAAAATAACTATAGGAGGTATTTGTTTCCATTAAATATCTCTGGATCCTTGACAACTTTTTAGTCTTATCTGTGAAAAAGGAACTAACCATAAATTTAATTTATCTTCTTCAATCATGTTGAAGGCAAAAAAATCCTTTTGTTTTACTATGCTATCCAATAGCTAAAAACAAAATAATTAGCTTCTTTCACATGGCTCATCAAAGAGATGAATAGTGTAGTAACATTTTGGAAAGCAAGTAAAACCACGCATATTGAAGATACAGAGAGTCTAAGCTGACTAATAAAACTCTGACAGCAAATTAATTTCATATTTGTGCTCTTCCCCCATTCCTTCCCCTGCCCATCTTGCCCTGTCTAATCACTATCCTGGATTTTTTGTTTATTATGTTCTTGGTTTTTATAAATATATTATTATAATATGTATATGTGTTCCTAAAAATATATTGTATTTTTGAATATTTTAATATTTACACAATGGAGTCATGCTTCAATTAATATTTTGGGACTGATTATTTTCACTCAGTAGCATACTGCTAAGAGTCATCCACATTTTCATTATATAATCTTCCAAATGTATAAATAGTCCACAACTTATTTACTAATTCTCTGGTCAAAGAACATTTGAGTTGTTTCCAATTTTTGCTATTATGAACAGTGCCTCTAAGAACATTCTTTTACATCCTTCCTGGTATGCTTATAGATGAGTTCTTCAGAAATGTACTTAGGAGCAGAATTGCTGGTCTTAAAATATGGAAATGATCAACCATACAAAATAATACTAAGCTTCTTTTCAAAATTATTATATCAATTTCCAATTTGCATTTCAGCAAACAACACATGAATGATCTCATTGATCCACATCTTCTCTAATACTTGGTATTACCAGACTTCTTTTTATTTTTTTGGACAATTGAAGTTGGTTGCTATTAGTTCTTGTTGGTGTTTTTGTTTTCATGCAGTATTGCACCTTTACATTGTCTTGTTGAATTATTTTTAAAATTAAACCAAAAATGTAAAGAGAATAAGAGAGGTAGACAGGTAATCCTAGCCCTGTTAAAAGCCTCAAAGATTGTTTCTATAAAATACCTTGAAGGGAAGGGCAGAAGATCTTGAAGTTAAAAGGCTTCACTAGTACACTGTGCACAGCCCATTTCTTCCTTTTTTAGATTCATCTCATCCACTCAGAGATGCAGTCAATCTAATGATAATCGTATCTAAGAATGTCTTTGAGTTAATTTAAGAAAAGATGGTGAAAACTCACCATACCTTTTAAATCAGAACTGATGGCAATATCACACAAATATGAAGTATGATGGCAACCTCCCAGGAAGAACGTTAGAAAAAACTTATCTGAGATTTTGTATTTCCTCCTAGGATATGGCATTGGTCTCCCATCCAACTCTCCATTGACTTCCAACATATCTGAGCTAATCAGTCAATACAAGTCACATGGGTTTATGGATGTACTTCATGACAAGTGGTACAAGGTCGTGCCCTGTGGCAAGAGAAGTTTCGTTGTCACTGAGGTATGGAAAGACTGCTGATAATGGTAACAGTTTGTATAGCTTTACCTTAAAGAATATAAGAAAATGCTATTACCTATGCCTCATAATCCAAGCTATTGTTTTTATTAGGTCTTTCCATAATATCTGGGTTATTTTTCACCTCACTTTCACTTAACTATGGGAAAAATGCCTATCCCCACAGGAATTTTAAATGAAACAGGTTTGTCTTAGATTTAAAAGTGATGCTGTTTTGATGAGTAAATGTCTAAATTTTTACTTTTTCCTATAACTTATATCTACAAGTACTAAATAAATGCTATCCTAAATTACAGAAATAACATTTGAAATTGACATTAACAATGTTTGGTTTCATCACTAATTACTGGTCATAATGTACACTTCAAAATATCCTTCAAAATCTAATCAAAGCTTTGCTAACTTCCCAGTGATAACTGTCTAGTGTTAAATCCTTCTTGGGTGCAGAGAAATACACATACTCTAACTAATACTTCTTAGATTATAAAATCATAGATTTTTAAAACTGAAACAATCAATTCCCTTATTTTACAGTTGGGAATCTATTAATAATATCCAGAGATACTAAGTGATTTGCCCAAGGCACAAAGATAGTCAAACTCTCTTTCTATTGTAGTACTCTGTCTTTACAATGTAATTAGAAAGAAATATACAAAATAAGGAAAAAATTGGATACATGAAAACAGGAGACTGGAAGGTATAACCAAAGCCACAGGCTCAGATATATTAAAAGAGAAGCCAAATATACCCAAATAAGGTCAACTTGACAACTTATAAAAAAACTGAAAGGCAACAATAAATGACTTCAAGTAGTCTCCAATTGCCAAGAACTCCCAAATTTGTATTTCAACACAGATCCTTCCTCTGAACTCTAGATCACATATCCACCTTCCTATTTGACACCTCAACCTAAATACCCTACAGGCATCTCAAGTTTGGCTTGTCAAAAGCTGAATATTTGATCTTCCCTCCTAAATCTGCTTTTCCTTTTGGGCTTCACGTCTTAGTAATGGCACCACTAGCCATCTAGTTACTCATTCTAGAAACTGGCAGGGATCCTTAATGCCTACCACGTCTTACCTTCTGCATTCATCAACAAGTTATGTCTCTTCCTTCTATAAAACATGCCTCATCTATGCCCATGTATTATCATCACCACTGTTGTCACTCTCATTCAAGTCATCATTCCTCATTGGGACCACTGTAAAAGTCTTCTAACTGGTCTCTCTGTTTTCACTCTGACCTTCTCCTGTTTGTTTCCTGCATGGCAGACCACTCTTTTGCTTAGAAGCCTGCAACAGTCTCCTATGTTAATTAGGACATAATTGAAGAGAAGGGCAGAATGTCTTGAAATAAAATGTGAAATGCTGACAAGGCCTACGATGTCCTCTAGGACCTGTCCCGCTTCACTTCTCAACCTCACCTCATTCCACTTTCCTTGTGGTTCATTACAGCACTCTGACAATAGACTTTTTAAGTGAAGATACAACAGCAGCTTCCCTGTCATTGGAAAGCTGCACTTACTGTTACCTTCTATTCCTCAAATGTTCCCCTCTGACATTTACTCAGCCAAAGTCTTCACATTATAAACTCCCAGCTGAAATCTCCCTTCTTCAGATAATATGATAATCCCTGACCAATATGAATCATATCTCCTTTTATAATCACATATATCTCATACTGTTTCATAGCACTTGTTATAATTTGTAAATTTTACTATTTTAAAATGCATATTTAGAATTATATTTATATGTATATTTAGTATATATGTTTGTTTTTATATATTTACCATTTTTAAATATATATTTAATCAGAATTTTATTTTTTAGTGTATATCTTCTTCATTAAATTGTAAGAGCTCTAAGGGGTGGTCAAAGACTTTGTTTACAATTATATTCTCAATGCTGCATTATATAATAAACACTTAATAACTAATTTTGAAATAAATGAACCAGAGAAAGTGAACAATATACCTGAGAAGAAGTTGAGGAGTTGAAGGTAAGAGCGTATCAGGAATGATAGTAGTAGTGTACTGGGATTAATAGTATAGCCCCAAAATTTATGTTTATCCAGAACTTCAAAATATGACTTTATCAAGAAATAAGGTCTTTGAAAAGGCAATTAATTAAGATGAGGCCATACTGTACTTTGGTGGGCCCTAAGTCCAATCACTGGTGTGCTCATGAGGAAAATATGTAAAAGACACAAGGAAGATGGCCATGTGACATCACAGGCAGAGACTGGACTATGCCTCTATAAGCCAAGGAATGCTAAAGATTGCCAGCAATTATCAGAAACTCTTAGAGAAGCATAAAACAGTTTCTTCTTCTACTGACACCTTAACTTCAGACTTTTGTCCTCCAGAACTGTGAGAGAATGAATTTCTGTAGCTTTAAACCAGCCAGTTCATGGCAATTTGTTACAGCAGATCTAGGAAGCTAATACAGATAGATAATAGATATATAGATGAAGATGATGAAGATAGTGATTAGATAGATAGATAAATAGATGATAGATCCAACTAGAAGCTGAAGCAAGCTGGTCAATGACCTTAGCAATTAGGTTTACTTCTGACTTTCTTGGCAACCATGACAAAAAGAATTATAAGATGTGTTAGAATGTTTTTAAATCAGAAAAAAAAGAAGTCAACCTCTCTTTAGTTCTAATTCTAAAATAATTTTTTTTGAAAAATGACACTGAATAACAGAGTTACAAAATGCAAAATTATTTTTCCTGTCTCATTCTTATATTGATGCTTCATGCGAAGCTGAGGGCATGATGTTATATGAGACTCAGTAAAAACCTTTTGAAAGGCACTAAACATGCAACTTATGTCCTTTGCTTCTTTACAATGATTAATCCTGCTTCTGAAAACTCACGCCACCTGGAAGAATGGACCTGCTCATCCAACAATATTTCTTAAGTACCCACTATATACCAGATTGTGTTCTAGATACTTAGAAAATATCATTAAACAAGAGACAAAGAACCCTGCCTGCCTTTGACAAGTTTACATTCTATCAGGAGGAAACAATACACAGTAGATGTAACACCTAAGCAAAGTAGATGTATGTTACAAGATGAGAAGTAGAGAAAGGGTGATAACAGTGGTCATAGAAGGCATCATTGAGAAGATGATCATTGATAAAATATTCTGAAGTATAGAGAAAAATTGACTTAGGGGACTAGCATGTTCTGTTTCTTGTCATATGATAGAAACTGTACTAGAGCCTTTAACTTTAGTTCTCACTACATCTCTGTAAAGCAGTCTTTTTTTTTTTTTTTTTTTTTTTTGAGTTAGAGTCTTTTTAGGGCAGAGTGCAGTGGTATGACCACACCTCACTGCAGATTCAGTCTTCTACCTCAGCTTCCCAATTAGCTGGTAGCTAACTTTTTTTGGATTTTTTGTAGAGATATGTTATCTCTCTGTTATTCAGGTTGCTCTCAAACTTCTGGCCTCAAGCGGTCCTCCCACCTCGGCTTTCCTAAGTGGAGGGATTACAGGCTTGAACCACAATGCATGACCTGTTTTTTATCTTTATTTGGAGACATTTTCTTGACTTTTCCTAAAAGAAATAAATATGGGCTTAAGCTGGTCACTTAATTCAGCCATAGAAATAAATAAACCAGTTGCTTAAGCTGTACAAAATAACAGTCATGGTGTTTTCTACCACTTGTGACCATGGCTGCTCAAGCCAAAATCTCCAAGTGATTCAAAAATGACAGCAAAACATTAGACAAGACAAAAGGAGTCTCCCAATCAAGTCCCCAAAGCCAGAAATACTGAATGATTTTCACCTCCCTGACCACATATAGTCTCTAGCCAATTGTCATTTCAGAGAATCATCAGATCAAGATGTCAGAGAAACCATCTTCCTCCTGGGCCAAGTCTCTGAGGCCACACAACTCTGCAGACTCAAAACCTAACTCCACCTGGGCACACAGAGGAAATGTATTTTTGGAGACTTACTAACACAAGTACTAACATAAGTTTATACCAAATTTATTCCAATGTGAAAGTATCTAACACCAAGCATGATAACTTTGAAGTCATACATTTCTAGATTTGAATCCTGGCTCTACCAATCAACAGCTGAATGACTTAGCTGCTGTCAAGTCTGAGTTTCCTCAACTGTAAATGGATATAAATTAAAAATAAAACTTGCATTACCATTTTGTTCTGATAATAAGAGATCACTTATGGAAGAACCTAGTAAGAAACCTGGCACAGAAAATAGTAAATAATAGAAGTACTAATTCTTCTCTTTTCATCAGGATATCTTCTGGTGTCTTCCTGTAGCTCTTTTTACAGTGAGCAAATATTCCCAGAAGCCCTCCACTAAATTTCGTCACATTTCATTGGCCAAAATTATATTATCTGCCCACACCCCAAGCCAATCAGTGGTAAAGGAATGGGATCACCACAATAGATTAAGTCAATCATAACTTATCCAGGAGTGCAGCCTCCACTGAAACACAAGGCTACACAGAGAAGTGTGAAGACCTAAACAAAAGCAGGAGTCCCTTAGGGAGGAGACAGAAGAGTAGATGTTGAATAAGCAATCAACCACTTCTTCTATACCCACTCTGTAGACTTGGGAAGTTGCTTCCTTACTCATTTCACTCATTGCCAGACCACCTGTACAATGAAGTATTTGGATTTAAACATCTGTAAAGGTCCTCCCGGCTTTGATTCAGTGATTTTTACCTTCCCTTAATATTATCCTGAAATATGAATATTCAGTATTTTATACAGCACAGCATAATGGTTCAAAACATGGACTTTGGAGTCAGGTCTAGATTTGAATCTCAGATTTGCCATCTATGTAATTATGAGACATATTACTTGACCGTTCTGAGCCTCAGCTTCTGCACACTGGGAAACAGCCATACATACTTTATGGAATTGTGATGAAAATGAAGTCAAACGATGCTTTTCAAATATTGAGCATATTTCTAAATATGATAACCACAAAATTATCCAT